CCCTTCCATTGTTACGCCCATGATGTACGAGATCTATTTGCCTCTCCATCAAAGTGTCTCCTCACTACAGCAGTTGATGACCCTGCTGACAGAGATAAATCCTGGCTGAGCCAACATTTCCTCAACCTCAATGAGAGCAAGACCGAGATCATCTTTTTGGACCCCCAACCATCCCCTCCCCGTTGATATTCTGGGCTCCCTCAATAAAAGCATCCTCCCCTCTCTCATAAACCTTGGAGTGACCTTCAGTAGCACTTTTAAATTTGATCAGCAGGTCAGCACCGTAGTCAAGACCTGCTTTTTTTTTAAATACGAATATTGCCCAAGACCAAGTCGTTTTTATCTTTTAAAGACCTAGAAAGGGTTATTAACGCCTTTGTTACCTCGAGGTTGGACTAATGCAACGCTCTGTATGTGGGTATGGACCAGGCCTCAATTAGACGCCTGCAGCTAGTGCAGAACGCAGCTGCTCGTCTTCTCACTGGCCACAAAAAGCGTGACCACATCACCCCAATTCTGGCCTCACTGCACTGGCTTCCAATTCGGTTCAGAATTGATTTTAAACTTCTTTTATTTGTTTTCAAATTCCTAAATGGGCTGGATCCGGCCTATATAGCCAAACTCCTCCATCGCTACACCCCGGCCAGAGCCTTAAGGTCTGCTGATCAGCTGCTGCTAGGCTCTGAAACAGTCTGCCCCTCCATGTGAGGTCGGCCCAGACCCTAGGGGTTTTTAAATCCTAACTAAAGACTCACTTCTTCTCTCTGGCCTTCTAGTCAGAGCGGAGCACGACTCCTGACATTTCCCTGTGTGTGATTTAATTTTTTTGTTGTAATTTATTGTCTTCTGTTTGCTATTGTAGTAAAGTGTTTTTATTGCATGTACAGCACTTTGGCTCGACCAAATATAGTTTGAAAAATGTGCTATATAAATAAAACTTGATTTGATTTGATAATGTTCAAAAAGGTCTTTATTTCTCTCACACTGCCTGGGCTGCAGCACCTCTTTTCACCCTCTGTCTGAAACCAGAGCCCAGTCTGCTCTGATCGGTTAGCTGGCCGGGTCTGTTGTGATTGCTCAATCGCTTAAAGATGTGCCGCCCCTTAGCCTATCACGTACAATGTGTTGTAGCCCTAGCCAATAGAAGTGCGAGTCTTGCATATGGATGTGATTATGATACGGAAGAAATCCAAGGAGTCCAATGGAGGAGTTTCAGGCAGGGGGTGTTGGATAGAAAACTTCCTTTTGAGGGAACTTTGGGATTTTAGCCTTTGCAGACCATTAACATGCACACAATCCTATAAAACACACCTCTTTAAACTTCCCCTTGCAGAATGTCCATTTGAATATACATACAGTAGGTCTACAAATGGGCCTATAGTGTATGTGCAGAGTTAGCCCATTAGCTGGCTTTGTGTGTGTGACTCCTGTTTGAAGTCTGTGTAATTGGCAACAGGTCCAGCTGTCCCTCCCACGTTCCCCTAATTGTCCCCCGGCCTGCACCGTCCTGTCAGCTGCAGCCTGCCTCAGAAAAGCAGAGGAAGAGAAACCAGCTGCAGGGGGCGAGGGACGGAAACAAGCCATTATACCCAGAGAAAAGAGAGATGATGGCTTCAGCTGGTGGCAGATCGTTCCCTTTTGCTATCTGGATGTGAACGGTGGACGGGTTTTGAACTGAATTGGCTGTCTGATAATACCTGAAGATACATGTCTGAGGTTAATATTCAGCAGGTCAACAGTTGGAGTATGAATGTGGGCTTCAAACCTGGTGTTATATTTCTTTTGTCTCTTTTTTTTCTATAATATAACCGGAATAAATATAAATCTGGCCACAGTTTCTGGTTAAGTTCATGTTAATGTGCAATGCAAACAATAGTTGGTTTGTTTGCAGATGCATTGTAGGACGTGGATGTTTGTTTGAATATAATGATTCATGGGAATAACTAACACATTCCACTATTATATTTTTTTGTATTGGTACTGCACCCCTTATGTCACGAATGCATAAACACTATAGCATACATTGCAAACCCAACGTGATGTTGCTAGGTTTGCACTGGAATGAGTCATGAGGTGCATGCTGTCTGACAAATCTCGTGCTTTGATCTACATGTGTTGTGCTTCACAGTATCCCCCCACACAGATCAAATGCTACAGTATGAGCTTTACTGTAAATTCTGAAGTCACAGCGTCTGATCCTAAAGGAAACAAAAGGGTCCACACCACCAGCAAATGAAACACAAGATGAATTCTACCATAAAAACAAAATGATGTTGTATTCCTGGAGACACTTAGCAGGAACTTAAGACAAAGCATCAAAATGAAGTTAGAGCTCTAAGATGGCTGTGGTCCGACTAAAATGACTGGAGGGGTTGGAAGTGGCTCCCTGAATTGATGGTCCTTGTATGTTCTTTGGCGTGTGATCCCATCACATGATCTGCAGTTATACTTTGTATAGTGCTCCACTGACTTCAGATTGACCTTGAACAATAAAAACAATAGGAAAAAGGGGATCAGAAACATTTTTGCACCATAATTTCCTTTATTTTTATTTTTAAATGTATTTCAAGAATTCTCCCTTTTCAGAACCTGGCTCCTACGATACCCATAAAGCAACTCGCCCACCTTCAGACAGTAGGATGTATTATGCTAATGTGGCTCAAGCATAAATCATAGATTATACATAAAGATGTAATCTCATTTATAAACCCACCCACTCCTAGATTATTTAAATCCCACACTTGCAGTCTTCAAACCCAAACCATTAAACCTCTAGTCTTCAGCCTCAATCCAGGTGACTCCAATGTCGTCACTTGGGGCAATGCATCTCTTTTTTGTGCAGCTCTCTGTGCAAAGCTCCACATGTTTTCTACATGCCTTTAACAATATTAATATTTATCACAGAATATGTTAAGGGTGGGGGTTTTAAAGTTCAAAGACCAAGACCTGATATGATGAACTCGTTCCAGATTCCTCCTCCTCCTCCTCCTCCTCCTCCAGTCGGTTAGTGATCATCCTGACAGGGTCCTGAGCTCCTCCTGTAGTGGCCCTTCCCACTGAGCAGCTGTGTTTGTGGCCCCCTGCTGGCCCCTGCTGGATCTGCTGGAGCTGCTGGATGTGGTGCTGAGCGCGTGCTCGGCTGCTGCACATCCACAGGACAGAAGAGACGCTGCAGACATGGATCACTGAGCGCACGACTCCGAAACAAGAGGTAAGAGAGCACTTTTACTAAAGCAATTTCATGTGTTTTTATTTTATTCTGCATTTCTGTTTTTGTGTGTGCAGCAGATTGTCTGATAAAGACATTCTAGCGATTTGCATGTAACCCTTATCCAGTCAAATAACTTACATATGATTGAAACATTTGACTCAATAAAAGCATGCAATAACTTTCAGCGTAGATGCACTTTTATGCAGCGTAATTTTTGTATCCAATTAAGCCATCACTTATCGTGCACATTTCTTAATAACACCACTTGTTAGCGCCATTGTCTCCAACTTTCTGTGTTGACTTATTCCGGAGATGGACTTAACCTCGCTCTGTGTGCTGTTTGGCACCCTGAGCTCCACGAAATATCGATTTGGCATAGTAATCTGTGTTTTATTAGAAACCACGGGCTGTATGTGGGAGTATAGGTGCTTGACACAGTTACGGGCTCTGAGGCTGTATTTCTCCCACGCTCCTTAGGGAGTCTTCACCGCAGAAGCATCTCTCCATCCTGCTCACTGTGTGCTTCATCAAAGCTGCTGTTGTGTGTGCCCACAGCCTGGGGGCCAAACATGCCTTAAAATATCCGATAAATGCCTTAAAACCTCTCGTAGTCTTTTATCACTGTCCGACCCGGTCTGTTAGACGCTGAGTTATGGTTAAACCCCCCCTGGCGAGAAATCACCTCAATACATCGTGGCAGAATGAGTAAAACAAGATAAGACTAGACACATGGCCTCTTAAACTAATATTAATGTTTTACTATAATAACAAATAGTATAGGCTAGACCTTAATATGGAACAGGTTGTTCTTGCAGGTCTTATTTTACCCAAATGTACAAGTTCATAGACACAAATCATCAAACACAAACATCTGGTTTAGGACCGAAATACAGATGTATTGTAACCATTATCATAGCCAAAAGAATTGCAATTCAACATACTATCCCTATAATCATTATATAATACTTAGTTGGCAATAAAACATAATCCATATTGATTTAAGCAAACATTTTAAATTATAATGCATCACAGATATTACATCTATTAAATGAACATCCTTTTTTGTTGTTGTTGTGAAAAACAGTTTTAAATAAGAAAATATATCAAAAAGCCCCCCTGCATCAATAAAGGATGAGTGATATTGCAATATTCAAGATTATATGGTGATGACATTTTACCACAATGAACGCATTGTGAGTGTTTTTAGGGCAATTTGCCATCCACAATCAGGTTTCAGTTTTTGTGTCTTGCTTGATTAGCAATGCCCTTGTTGTCTCCTGTGGTTGTTATTTTTATTACTTGTTTGGCTTTTGAATGTTAGTCGGCAAAAACAGATCATAGCAAATCCCGTTTATCGTCATCTCCTTTGATCTCAATGGTGAACATTTTGGACTAGAGCATTTTTCACACCAAATCAAGAACATGTATTACATCCACAATGAATCATAACTCATGCATAGTTTTAGTTTTTAATTGATTGCATTTGTTCTTTGTCAGGCAAGTAAAGCGAACAGTATTCGTGAGATAATACTCTCAGCATTGCAGAGGTGGAATCTGCCTTCTGAGAATCAAACAACTCAGACGTATTCTCTCATATTGTCCATGCTGGATCATGCCGTTTCTCTCTCAGCTGTTTGTCACAAACAACAGTGTAAACGACAAAGAACAAAACAAAGAGAGATGTATAGAGGGACAGATAATGACTATAAAAGTGAAACTAAATGCAGTAAGACACAGCAGGCGTGACGAGGAG